AAGAAAAGGTTAAAGAGCGAGAAGTAGAAACCAAAGCCAAGCAAAAAATTATAAATAATTTAGAAGAAAAGGTTAGATAAGAAAACAAAGCTAAGAAATTATTAATAACTATGAAGAAAAGTTTAGAGAACGAGAAGAAGTATCCAAGGAAAAGCAAACAATCATTATCGAATTAGAAAAGAGAATCAGAAATCTTGAATCAATTATTTATGATGATACTATTGATAGTTTAACCATTATATATACTAACAAGGACATATTAAACACCGCAGGAGGATTGCAAAGATATCGAAAATTACAAGTACTCCAATGTAATAAACTCAGATAACCAGCTTACCAACTTTATCCAACTCCTTAATAATACTTGATTGCAAAGAGACTAAAATAACCAGCTTATCAACTTTATCCAACTCCTTATCGGTACTTAACTGTAATGATACTCAAATAACCAGCTTACCAGCTTTACCTGAAAACTTAACAACACTCTATTGCTATGAAACTCAAATAACCAGCTTACCAACTTTACCAAATAACTTAAAAGTACTCCATTGCTATGAAACTCAAATAATCAGCTTACTAGCTTTACATAACAACTTAACAACACTTCATTACCATGATAATCAAATAACTATCTTGCCAACTTTATCCAACTCCTTAACAGTACTTAGTTGTTGTGACACTAAAATATCCAGCTTACCAACTTTATCTGACTCCTTTTCTGCACTTAATTGTAGTGATACTCAAATAACCAGCTTGCCAACTTTACCCAACTCTTTAAAAACCCAGTATCGGAATACACAAATAATCAGTTTGCCAAATTGACTAAATTCCTTAATGGATATCAATCCAGTATTATTGATACAAAGTGGTTTAAATTAAAATTTTAGTTCTTATAGTTTTAAACATTAATGCATTTAAATTTTAGGTTTTTATGTCATTTACAACGTGTTCAAAAAGAAGCATTCATATAAAAACTATTATTCAAAATAATAAGATTTTCATTTTTTAAATTTCATTTAATATGTAAAAGTTTTACTCAATTTTATATAATATCATTGTAACATTTACATTGTCAATTAAGAATAAAATTCTTTATCGTTATATAGTTAATTATTCACTAATTTATTTGCTCCTTTCGTGCTCGACTAAAATCAATAAAATAATGGATTAAATAAGAGATTATATGGTTCAATATATTTTCATAATAACAACCTCTCAGATTAAAGTGAGCATCTTTTTGGAGTATGCATTTCCTGTACATTCTCTTCATCCATTAGATAGCAGACCAAGTAAGCTCAAGTTAATTTAAATTCTGTTAATTAAAATAAGTTTCCCTTTGCCATTTGCAATAATGATATTTATCCTGCAAGTATAGTCAATAGCTTCTCTTTTTTCTTATTTTTGTGAAAAAATAATTATAAATATAAAAGAGCGAAAATATCTGAATTTATTGAATATTTTATGATCTCAAATTTAGTTTTTTATTAAAATCGGAAGAGATTTTTTATTAACTAATAAAGAATTTTTTTTATTGAGTTAAAGACATTATTCTTTAAAATGACTTCAACATACATGTATATAAATAAACTTTATTTCTCTTCTAAACGTAGAACTCCCATAAGGGCTTAGTCTTAAAGAAAATTATGCACTTGTATTTAAAATTTTCTAATATTAAGCGAATTCGGCGTTTCTTTTCTATCTATAACTTTGAGGTCTATTTTAACGAAAATATTTTTGTTTTTAATATTTAGGCGTATATTTTACGTTATATACTTAAACTGCAATAATAATCTCTAATAGATCATATAGAATTTGTCTTATTTGTATATTGTATATTAAAAGCAATCTCAGCACAAACTTTGGAGACTATTGCTGAATAATTATGTAAAAAATACAAACATAAGTACATTTAATTACCTCTTACAAAAATATGAGGTAACCTATGCCTTTTTCATGATGGAAAAAAATTTATAATAAGAAAAAAAAAAATAATTATGATACTGATTTGAAAAAAAAGATAAAGATTATATTTTTTTTTTGATAAGATTTTTGCATTCTTACATTAACTATATGTAAAGAAGACTCATTATCGAACGCTTTAATAGAATTATCTATTTATTTACAATGTTAAATAATACAAAAAAAAAGTAATTTATTCAAACGAATATATCTCTATTTATTCTACTTCTATTACTTTTGTTCATTTTTATCTATTTAAATGATACATAACACTTATATTCTTTATTTTCAAGATAATCTGAATTATTAAAATATTCATCTATTCCAATAATCTTGAGCATACAATTAAATTTTGGGTTCAAAATAGTAATTTTATAAGAATTATAATGTAATTTTAATGGTCATTTACTATTTGAAGTTTAAAAGTATTTATTACGTTGTTAGCTTAAACGGTTCATCGTTAAGTTAACTAAGATTATTTGCTAACAGGGAGTTTAAGTTCGTCTAAACT